AAAAAGAAAATGCCTGCCTACCTACCCACTGTCTCTACCTTCGAGTAGGGTTTGGGCAAACCAAAATATTTTTAAGTGTGGCCTAAGTCAAGGTACAAAAACAGTCATATAATAATCAGTGTATTCAGACTATCATCAGTCAAGGTACAAATACAGTCATATAATATTCAGTGTATTCAGACTATCATCAGTCAAGGTTCAAATACAGTCATATAATAATCAGTGTATTCAGACTATCATCAGTCAAGGTTCAAATACAGTCATATAATAATCAGTGTATTCAGACTATCATCAGTCAAGGTTCAAATACAGTCATATAATAATCAGTGTATTCAGACTATCATCAGTCAAGTACAAATACAGTCATATAGTAATCAGTGTATTCAGACTATCATCAGTAAAGGTACAAATACAGTCATATAATAATCAGTGTATTCCAGTCTTTTTACAAGTTGTTATTTTGTCTTGTGAAATTTCCTTTCTACACAAAAAAAAGACAAACAAGATGACAAAATTAAAAGAAATGTAGAAATTTTTGGGAGCAATAATATCATTGAGATTTTTGAAGAATTGACAACAATTCGAGATTTTTTCAATTATAAAAACACTGCAAAAATTTGTGAATTTACAGTATCATTTGAAACAGTGCTGTTCTGCAAACAAACAGATAACACAATAAATTCACCAGAATTGATTTTGACTTATGCAATATATTCTATGGGCTAAATTCCTGTCAGCAATAAGATTATGTACCCCCATCATTATATCAATACAAAATACCAATTATAGGATGATAAATTTGCAATATTTTTCTATAATACTATGACAATTTAATCCTAGGCTTTATTTTAGGTCTGTCAATAGTGAAATGTCATGAGAAGTCAAAACATTCTCAGCCCAATTGGATTTTTTAATAACTATTGGGAAAAAATGATTAATGATATCCTGAAATGAAATATATTTTCCTGGGAAAACAAATAATTTTTCTTATAATACCATCTGTACAAGAGTGTGTGTGTATTTTCAACTTGAATCAATTAGACCAATACAAAGATTGGTGATAAAAAAAAAAATATTTGCATGATCCTGGTATCAACATGCTGTAGAACAACAGTCCCTTGTCTGAAGCTTTTGTTTACCTCAAAACACAATGAATTTGTTTTTAAACTGAACCCACATACATATTTTATTCCTAACCCTTATGATTGGAAAGTTTGGCAAAATACTAACCTGAAGAATTCAAGGAAAGACTTAGCTTGTCCATTCATTGAAAAGATTGACATTTTTTGCCTTAGAGTCCCCATGTTTAAATGTAACAATACTGTATTCATTGTTCCAATAGTACTGTTGGCTTCAATAGTGTAATCACATACCAATCAGGAATTTTATTTTTCTGCTATAATTTCTACCTAATAAAAATGTCCGCAAGTAGTACAATTAATAAATCAGATTCAGATAAAGGTTTATATTTATATGTTTTCAACATTATGATGTCAAGTTCCTCATTAATAATGTCAAATGCCTACATCAAAATGTCATAAGGCTTTTATTTACTGTGCTACCTTAAAAAGTTTTCATATTTATGTACTTGATAAATTTACATGGAAATTAACTTCAAGATTCCTCAGGCTATAATTGATTCAAGATTTAATCTTTTAAAGAAACACAACTTAAATAACTACCAAACAGTTTTAACATTTCATTGCAGAAAAGAAATTGTGAGCCATAAACATATATCTTGGGTGTCTCAAAGCACCATTCTTTTTTATTTGGTGTTTCTATTAAATATTTTGGAAACTTGAGGTGACATGGTTACTACAGCTTTTAAACAGGAAAAAAAGGGGGAAAATTGATTGGTTAAAATCTGGTGATGGTGCAATGAAATGTTATGTGAAATTTAGTCTGTAGTACTGGACAGGTTAAAACTTTACTCATGCCAAGCATTTCTTTTTTTTAACCAAAGATAAATTCAGCACAATTTTTTTTGAAAAGTCCCAATTTAACAAAGACTGGTAGGGGAAAAGCAATGGTGGTATTACTCCTTTAACTGCATGATATCGTCATCATTTAGGGCAAAGAAAAAAAAAACAGGAACACATTTTAAAGAAATAATTTACAAACGTAACTACTTTGCAGGTCAACTAACAAAAGATGAGTCTTTTATCCAAGTATTTAGCTACATACATGAATGTAGCAGAAAATATTTCAAGCTCTTTAGTATCAATGGCATTGATGTGCTTAATACTCCATGGAAAACTAATTACAAACTAAACCTGTTACTACCTCAAAAGGAATGTTATATGTAAAAGTATCAGATTATTGCCATGTATAAAATTTCAAAACTGGGATTATATTTCTAAACTACATATACATGTACCGGTATACATTGTAATGCAAAGCAACCTTGCAAAAGAAACATTGAACAGATTTTTTTATTCTGATTATAGAAGATTCTGGCTACATCAAGTTCACCAGATATAAAGAATTGACCATTCTGACACCATGTTCACAGGAAATCACGGTGGTACAGTAAACATGCTTATTAGAAAAATCATTGCAACATCACAAAATTTGTGGGATTTGAGAACAGAATAACCAGCAAAGACTGACAAACGCAATTATCTTACTAACTCAGTAACTTTGTCAAGATCTTTTTAAAACTAGAAAATGTTTTTTGGAGTGAAATAAATTAAATATATTGATTAGAAAATTTTCCTCATTTTTACATTTAGATCAACTACAGATTTTTCTATTCTTTTCTTCTAAGATCTGACAGCTTGAAGGATTTTTACAACTAACACTGTAACAAATGCTCCTAGTTTGTACACAATAATTTAATCTCACAAAGAAAAACTCAGTTGAAAGATTTTTCCATTGTTGATCTCACACTACAACTAAAGGTATGGAAATGAAGCAAATGACTTACAAGGAGCAATCATCGAGGTATTTCAGGGGCGTGTTTATTACAAAATAGTAACACAACTTTCAACCCAACAAATCAGTTTTTGATGGCTTTTCGACTCTAAAGGTAAAGATGGGCTGACTTAGATAGCCTTAAGTATTCACCGAAGCTGAAAAAGGCAGTGTACGAATAAATGGCTTAAAACAATTTTACAAAATAGAATTTCAAATTAAATCACCGAAAAGGTAAATGATAGGAACTGCTTTAAACCATATCTGTACAGAATCAAATTATTTATGAGATTTTGAAATTTAGTGAAATTTTATGGTATCTGAATATGTAATAGTTGAATTTGATACTTGGGTGTTTTTTAATGTAGAGAAAATTGAGATTTATTTTCATTTTCTTTTAGAGAGTCCAACATAATAATTTATCTAATAAAATATTTAGATTAGATTTTCACTGAACAAAACAACTTGCAATCTGCAAATCTTCTGCCCTACACAATTGCTTTATTTGTCCAAAAAAATTCTCTTCCATAATTGTATATATATTATGTATTTTTTGCTGGCTACAAACTCTTAAAAGACTGAATGTTTTTCTTTGTTCTAGAACTTTCAACATTCTATCCCCACCCCATTTTTATGTTTGTGAGTTGTCTTAATATATATATATATATATATATATTGTTTTGTCATTATTGCTGTTGATGTTTTATATATTAACTAGAAGTCAGACCAAAATTCAAGCATAAAACGTAATTAGATGCACATTTGATCTTCAAATTGCTACTATAAACATCAAGAAAATAGAAATATTTTCAAAGTGAGATTGTAGAACTGATTAACACATGGATGAAAACCAATTGTAATTCATCTTTCTGTCATATCAACAGATAAGGAAACAAATTATTAAATCAGAACTCATGCTAATGGAAAAAGCTATATTCATATTTAATAAAACAATAAGAATTTCTGGCAATGAATCAATTTCACAATCTAAAATGGTCTTTTATATCTCCCATTTTTTACTTTTATTATGTTAAGCTTTCGGCAAATTATGACATACCATTTTACTGTCTTCGATAAGCTGTTGTACATTAAAGATTTGATAAAGTCTATTACAAAATGCATTATGCCTTAGGTGCATATGCAAAAGATTATGAAAATGCCAAGCTATTATCCTATTGCCTTACTAGTGTCAAGTATAATCTATAGTTTTTATCAACTTGTAAGAAAGAAAATTCTTTTTAATTTTATTTTTAAATTCATTTCTTTTCACATTATGTATACAATTTACAGTAGAAAAAACACAAAAGTCGTCAAACCTTTTTCATCTTATATCTCAAATTGTCATGCACAGCTTTCCTTTAACAATTGTCTAAATAAAAAATTGAGTAAGGAGCCAACCTGGAGTCAGAAATGTATGATACCTTGAAAAAAATAATAATTTTAATTCTGACAACAATGACCTCTACTAGTTTACGTCAATTGTGAGAAGTGAAGTATATTACCAGTAAAACAGAGACTGGATAAAAAATACTTGATATGGTAGTGAAACTATGAATATTAAATCTCAAAAAAGGATAAATTTATATTGATATTTATATTTATTCTTATTTTAATCTACATCCAAGAAACCACATATATCATAAGATATATATATACAATTTACTCTGATTTTTTTTACATTGTTTGAACAATATATGTAAATTTTAAATTGATTTACTACAGCTCTTTATAATTGGCAAATCTTAAAACAACAATAAATTTTAAATGCTCCATTTAAATATATTTTTAAATTGTCTAGCATATGCATATAAACATCAATAAAAATGCACAAAAGTGTAAAATTTATGTGTAAATTTATTCTTTCTTATATTCTGACACAACTGATAACATCACCAAATATGTGACAAAATTTTAAAGGCTTCCCATTCAAAGTGCAATAACACACATTTATAGACATATATTTATAAAATGTTCATTTCTGTTTTCATAAAAACAAAAAAAGTTAATACAAGCTGTGTGAATGCCCTACTATGAAAACAAAAGTTCCTCTTGATATATATATATACTGAATCCATCAAAACATTTACCTGCTTGCATGCGCGTTTGCATCCCTCCTCTTTCACTGTATCACAGCATGAAAATGCTGAAAACAAAGATAAAGTTGAAATAATTTATATATTCTGTTATTGAATTATCTTTCTAAGCTTTGCCAGACGGCTCAGCTACTGTAATTCACACCGCCGTGAGATGAAAGTGTATTGCACGTGAAAATGTCAACTTCAAAGAAGAATGTGTGTAATTCATCTAATAATCTAGTTTAATGAATTTGCAGTTTATTTATTAGATTATTTAATCAAAAGACTGAATTATTAATACATAAACGACAAACAGACGACAAAAGGTCCATTCAAAACGTATTTATAAACATACAAGTTCGATTAAATACACTAGAGCCAACAGAATTATGTGTATTCAGTATTGTATTCATAACATAAGATATTTAACACTACTTACCCAGAGACTGTGAATTGTGAACGACTGAAAATATAAAAACACAAAACCAAATCATGTTGGTAAATCCGAACATCTTTCCCCAACGTAATTCATGATTAAACTGAAAATATCTTAAATCCACTTGCACGTTGTGTGCATTTACCGACGACGTTAAAATCTACAACAATGGGCTGTTCTGTTCAACTCCCGCGTCAAAGGTCAAACGTAAAAATAGCACAGAAATCAATAGCACAGGTCGCTCAACAATATTAAAATTTTCTATCGCTGACAAATTTAGTCTTAATTAGTGGATTTATTGGATGTGAGAAATATATTATTGAAAAAAATATTTGTGGTTGCTATTGGCATATGAAAATTGTGTTTACAAAGTAGATCTTGCTGGAGTTTATCTTCTCATAATGCATTTTGAAAATACTTCGCTATCAAATAAAGTACATTTAATAAATAAATATTAGGCACCATGAGAAAAGCTTTGATTCGGTGATTGCTTAATTAGTGATTTTTGTTTGTTGCATGCATCTGACACGTATTGGAAAGAAAGGTTACAACAAAGTTCCAAAATATTGTACACTTATCCCACACGACACGCCACGGTATTTTGACCAATATTATTTGGCAGTGGCTATTTTGCCGGCGCTGGCAAAATAGAATGATATGCTATTTTGCCGGCTCTGATTAAAATATCTTGGTTAAAGCCGGCAAATTGGCATATTTCTATAGTAATGGCTATTTTAACAGCGCCAGTAATATAGTGAATTTGTTATTATGCCGGTTCAATTCCTTTTTTTTTTTAAAGTAGTACGAAAATGTGCATAGTCAGTATAAAAGAATAAAATTATTACTAATATTTTATAGTTGAATAGATTACAGTAACAATATTTGAGATACATATAATCGTTTAAAAACAATTATCAGTCAAAGTGAAAATAGATTTGTAAAAAGAAATAAAAATAAAAATATTGAGCATCCATTTTTTGCAATGAAATCATATCAAAACATGTGCTAGTAGTTGAAATTACTTCTAAAATCAGTCACAGTCTAATACTACATGTATACATAAGAATAAATTCTCAAATCTTTTAACTGTATGTTATAAAAGAATAAAGGTTAAAAAATCTCATTGCATATAACTTAATAAAACATTACACAATCTAATTAAATTAATCACATAGCTTCAAATTCAAAAATGTTTGAATTAAATTTGCTTTTGGAATAATAGTCAGTTCTTTGAATTGCACATTTGTAAACAAAATCGTTTTTTACTGGCAAAATTGGCTTCCGCTTACCTAAAGCCGGTAAGACTATATAAGTATCATCAGAAGAAACTTGTTCAAATGCCCCATAGAGTGCAAAAATCTAGCCTATTTATATCCATGCTAAGAACAGTCTTGGAATACGGAGTTGAAATCTGGGATCCGTACGCTTCTAAAGATATCGAGAAAATAGAAGAAATTAAAAAACGTGCTGCCAGATCTATCAAACATGACTACATATCTCTAGAAGCAGGATGCGTCACAAACAGGCTTTCAGAACTTAAACTGCAAGCCCGATAAGATCGAAGGAAGCAACAATGCCTAGTCTGGTTGAGGGACAGGTGACAGCCGTACAACCAACCGATTACGTAAAACCAGTCAGGAGCAATAAAAGACAGATCAAAGCAAAAACATTTGGAGATTACATCAACTCAAACATTGTAGAAATACTAGAAACAAAAAACTCAAAGGTTTATCAAACTATCCAGTGCAACACCGAAACAAAGAAACACTCGTTCTTTGCACGAACCATAATTGATTGGAACCACCTGGAAGATAGCATGACGTGCATAAAGACAGTAGAGGGCTTTAGAGCCGCCCTCCAACAGTTGGACTAAGTCCCGCTGCTCTGCTTCCAGTGCGACGAAAACTGCGAACGGCTCCTGCACTGTGTAACAATACAGATACAGTTACAGGTGCGGATCCAGGAGGGGTGGTAGAGTTCTGAGGTGGCCTGGACCCCTTTATGTCCGAACAATAGTGTGTTCATTACATTTTTCTAATTTTTCACATTTCAGTCATTTGGACAAAATGTTTTGGTGGGTTTCAGCCTTCCCCTTCTTTTAAAATTCTGGATCAGCCCCTGCAGTTGTGTCACAAAGGAGAATTTAGTTGGCGACTACTAGCCCTACTATGAAGAAACACATATGGTTAATGCAATACATGCTGACATAATCCCGCATGTACATATATGGACATGTATTTTGCGGAAGGTTGTTGGGGAAATTAGGCTGTTGTCCATATTCAGTATTACCAAATTAAAAAAAAAAACATGTAAAAACAGTCAGGTCAGGGTTTGCGATGTTAACGTCACCACAAAGGACTTTTGTCATACGGGGCGAGGCGTCTTGAAGTGTCTGGTATCTGAAATTACTGAAAGTAAAATCTTTAACATTTTCTGTGTTTTAGTTGTCAAAATTTCGATTTAGTTCATTTTTTTCAGCAATACAGAAACAGGTCAATAGACTGTTTGAAAAAAAAGTATTTGACGTCTAAACACTAATTATCACTATTTCAAATTAGATGCTCCAATGAGCCTCAATCTGTCACTTTATAGTTATAACCCTTAATTACTCCAGATTGGAACCAAGTGAGATCCTTGCAGAGGAACCCCCATAATCATTCCTATATAGTTTTGTTTAAAATGGACATAAATATTCTAAGAAGAAGATGCAAATTTCAATAGTCTTAACGAGAACTATGTCGCTAATGCATTTAGTAAAGATAAACTTAAGCAGAATCATTTTTTGTAAACAAATGTGTATATGCCAATAGCAAACACACATATTGTTATAGTAAAATTAATTCTCATATCAAATAAAACCACCAATTAAAGTTTCAAAACATTTCGCCTCGTAGTTTCAAAGGAGAAGATTGTTGAAAATTGGCCAATCAGCATTGGGATCAATATTATCTCATATCAAAACAAAATAAGGATCAATGTATAAATAAGGGGATGACCCTTTGATTTTTGGGGGGAGGGGGATTTTGTAATTAATCTGGCCTGGTAAGAACTGAAAATAAATAACTTTGCACGCTAAAAATTAATAATCTGCATCACAAAATGCAGGATACAAATGTGTGAAAAAAAGTGAAATCAAAGCGGAATAAAAATAAGCATGCGTAGCAATAGATGAAAATAAATATTCAATATGGGGAAAAATCCTCCTGTCCCCTTCCCCCTCCAAGACTATCAAATGGTCGTCCCATAACCTTCTATAAACTTTTCTATGTACGTTTTGGTTTTAATTGGCTAAGTTGTTTAAGATAAGACGACCTGATGAACATACGACTTTCCGTAGGTTTTCAATGGAACGTGCAACCATTCATGTAAACTTTGCCACACAATCAACATAAAATGACGATTGTTTGTAAAGGGTCTTCCAATGATCACCCCCCCCCCCCCCCTCCCCTCAAAGTTTTATAATATTTTCGCCTTGAAGAGAAGTTTGAAAACTTTCCAAATATGTATCAAACCTTTTTGCATACAAAGTAACTGCTTCAAAAGTTGAAAAAAATCGGTCAAGCTCATTCGGGGAAGACTCTGACATGTATCTTTTCACATATAAATATGTTTGCCAATGAGACAAGTATCCACCAGAAACTATAAAGGACGAGAATGTAAATAACTATAGGTCACCGTAAGACCTTCATCAATGAACAAAACCCATACCATAAAAGCCTATTTAAGTTCATTCTTTATTACCATTTGTTATAAGCGCACAGTTTATCAATATTTAATACTTTCTAAGATTTCCTACCAACATGCAACAAATTTATGGAGCTGATTTCTTTATGCAATGTATATTAACTATCGACACATCGTGGAATTAACGATTTAACAGTTGAAGCAATACATTTCGGAATTAGAAACTTGAACAGAAATATCCAAATTAGTAATGAAAGATGCAAACTTTTGACGTTTTACCGTACTATCATTGGTTATGCTATAATATGGATGGATGAAGGCTGAGTAACGCCCAGCTGAGTGGCAATCAATACAGGCATATCCGTCAGAACGAGAATATGTTTATGAATATATATAATATCAATGTGAATCATACAATGTAAAAGACCGACACATGGATTTTAACCCGCTTGTTCACAAGGTCTGCAAGAAGACATACCACATCTTCTTATATCTATATATCATCCTATTTTGATATTCTTTCTCCGTGCTAACCATTCTTTGCTCTTGCTCCTCGGGGCCGCTGTTTTCTTATTTGCAATCATACTACATCTACTTATTTTTATAATATGAGTTTGTTTTGCTTTCTTGGAAAGAAGGGAAGGTTGAGGCATAATGTCGTTTAAAATCCCTTTTTTTATCTAATAATATTTTATTGCATTTATCAAGCAAAAGGATTGGACACAAGTTATAACAACTTATAGTAAGTCCTCTCCTTACATATACAATACACATATATGATGACAGCAAACACATACATAATATAGCGACAGTTATAGAAAATAATGGAAGGAGTCACACATTTGCATGGCAACAAAAAAGCAAATAGGACAGAAAGAAAAAAGAAAGCTGCTGACTTAGAACGTTAAAATCGTTTTGACTGTTTAATGAAATAACGAACTTTATACAAAATTTTAGAGTTAGTTTCGTAATTATATGCATCTTTTCCAAACAATAGCGTTTCAATATCAATGTGTATGTTCATATTTGTAAGATCATTAATCAGAGATATTCTTTGGTTGTAATATAATTGACATTCTAGAAAGTAATGGATGGCATCTTCAACAGGAGAACCGCAGGAGCATTTAGAATCATTCACTACATTTATCTTATTTAAGTCTGCATTTAATGAACTGCACTGGTGCCTTAGTCTTGTATGCAGTATATTAAATTTTCTAGGACCTTCACCATAATATGTTGGAGGTCTAAATAGTTAACCCTTTATTTTTCGTTTAAATTGTGGGATAGTTGGTGCGTTTCTAATTGTTGGATTTAAATTATTCCATATTCTGACAGTAGATGGTACGAATGACTTTTCAGTTATTAGTAGTCTACATCTAGAGGGTATATAATTATCATTATTTCTTAGGTTGTATCCACTGACATCAGATGTAACTGGAGATAGACAGTCGATTAAATATTGGGGACAAAATTTATTATGCATTTGATAGAAAATTGTTAAT